AACTCTCAACTTTGGAAGTATATTTTTAATTCCATTCTAGATGAGACTTATATGGAGGAAAGAGAAAAGTGAGCTAGCAAAAAAAAAGGGTGAGAGAAATGTACAAATACAGAAAGGGTAGAAACTGAAATGAACTGAAACGGTCTGGGAGACTGATAAAAAGGTATGGAATGTAAGAATTATATAGGGTGTGAAGAAGAAGGGGCCAACTGGAATGAATGAAGGGTAAATACACAAAACCTTAGAGTATCAGACTAAATTCTCATCCAATGAATTATCTGAAACTTTGATGAGATTGACATAATTAAACTATCTTTAGGCACATTGTAAAGACCAGCAGCAGTGCAGGTGACCTGGGAGATCCATGCAGGGACAGATTAAGAGCCCAGTGGGCCTGGTGCTGACAATTATGATGGGCCTAATTACGGAATCTTATCGACCAAAAACACTAAAACAGTCCTACCTCCCAAGCGTCATGTATCTGATGGAGATGGTGCTGGAGGGAAACTAGCAAAATGCAACTATAAGAAAACACATACCCAATGCTAATCTCTCCCTAGCAGCAGTGTCTGGTGAAGCAGGAAGTCAATGGGCGGGGTAAAAGGGTGTGCCACTGATGTCAATCACATAACCAGAACTGCCGAAAGGGGTGAACATGCCCAAAAAAGGGGCATGTTGGCCCAAAGAGTTGGAAGGCCACCCTTGCATTAATGCAGGTCAGGCTATCTGCCATTCATGTAGGCTGGCCAACTAAGGGCATACTATGCAGACAGCATTCTGAGTTTGGCATAAATGCGTTTAATGATACGCTCGCTCCATACTTTCTAAGGCCTGTCCCCTAGCACATATCCACTTGTCTCCTTACCTTCTTACTAGACAGAGAAAAGGTGTTTATAGTGAGTGTAAAAGAAAGGGGACATGCCACAATGTTAGAGAGACCAAAGTACTTAAGCAAGAGTGTGTGAAGAGTAGTTAGGGTTGCCACCTTTCTTGGAAAAAAAACATACCAGCCTTACTAATTTGAAAAATGAATTATGTATGTTTGACATAAGAGAAAATTCTGTAAAATCACCCAAAAACTACCTACAGTTTGATTCTGCAGTATAGATGTCCCTGTCTCCCAGTGTCCCCAAGTCTCATTGTCCCATATGTATCAGTGCCCCATGTCTCAATGTCCCCTAGTGTCTGTGTTCCCATGTCTCCCAGTGCCCCAATGTCACCAGGACACCAGGGGACACAGAAATATGGCGACACTGTGAGTCCTGGGGGCACTGAGACACTTGGGGGCACAGACATGGGGACACTGGGTGCATTAAAGTGTCCTCATGTCTCCCAGTATCCCCAAGCGTGTCAGTCTCCTGAAGTGTCATGGGAACACTGGGAGACATGGGGACACTAGGGACACAGAGACTAGGGGACACAGAACCTGGGGACACTGTGAGACATGGGGACACTGTATCTGCAGGCTGGGAGCTGCTGTCTGGACTCTGCGTTGTGTAGCTGCTCCCCTGTGGATCAGTGAGTAGAGAGAGGCAGGGAGATGCTGTAACTTCCAATCCCTGCCTCTCTCCACACACAGCAATGGTGCTGGTATTGCAGAGTAATCCGGTAATACTGCAATACAGGCACCAGCCAGACAGCCTCAAATACCAAGGGGGGAAGGAGGGGAATCAATGGGCCTATTCCATGGGCCTGGAGCTGCAGCTCCAACAGCCCATATGTTAATACAGCCCTGGATCCGTATAAGTGTCAAACTATTCAAAAAATGTCCTGACTACTTAACGTGGGGCAGGGACTGCTGGCACTATTCCACTATAGTGGGCTACAGTGGTTATGGTACTTGGAGTACTCATTTAATTGTCCAACCCAGGAGCCATTAGTTTAGACATTACGGTGCCATATACAGTAAAGTATTTTTTTTAAAACAAAAAGGGAAGAAGAAAATGTCTCAGTGCACTCGATATTAGGAGTAATTGGTGGTTTCATCTGAGAAAGGTAAACAGGCAAATAAGGTAAGGACAAACGTTAGCAATTACCAGCTACACCTAAATCTCCAAGTACTTGGACCCATTCTCTTTAATATTTTTATTAGTGATATTGCAGAAGGTCTTGATGGTAAGGTATGTCTTTTTGCTGATGATACTAAGATATGTAACAGGGTTGATGTTCCAGGTGGGATAAGCCAAATGACAAATGATTTAGGTAAACTAGAAAAATGGTCAGAATTGTGGCAACTGACATTTAATGTGGATAAGTGCAAGATAATGCATCTTGGACGTAAAAACCCAAGGGCAGAGTACAGAATATTTGATAGAGTCCTAACCTCAACATATGAGGAAAGGGATTTAGGGGTGATTATTTCTGATGACTTAAAGGTAGGCAGACAATGTAATAGAGCAGCAGGAAATGCTAGCAGAATGCTTGGTTGTATAGGAGAGGTATTAGCAGTAGAAAGAGGGAAGTGCTCATGCCATTGTACAGAACACTGGTGAGACCTCACTTGGAGTATTGTACACAGTACTGGAGACCGTATCTTCAGAAGGATATTGATACCTTAGAGAGGGTTCAGAGAAGGGCTACTAAACTGGTTCATGGATTGCGGGATAAACTTACCAGGAAAGGTTAAAGGATCTTAACATGTATAGCTTGGAGGAAAGACGAGACAGGGGGGATATGATAGAAACATTTAAATATATAAAGGGAATCAACACAGTAAAGGAGGAGACTATATTTAAAAGAAGAAAAACTACCACAACAAGAGGACATAGTCTTAAATTAGAGGGACAAAGGTTTAAAAATAATATCAGGAAGTATTACTTTACTGAGAGGGTAGTGGATGCATGGAATAGCCTTCCAGCTGAAGTGGTAGAGGTTAACACAGTAAAGGAGTTTAAGCATGCGTGGGATAGGCATAAGGCTATCCTAACTATAAGATAAGACTAGGGACTAATGAAAGTATTTAAAAAATTGGGCAGACTAGATGGGCCGAATGGTTCTTATCTGCCGTCACATTCTATGTTTCTATGGCAAAGCATCACAGGCACTGGAACTTGTAAAAGTATAGGACAGATCATGAAAGGCACAATCAAGCAATGTGGATATATATTAATGGTGTATTGTTGTTTATCCTTAGATGTAATATTGAGAGCATTTTTTTTTTAAATTAATCTATTAAAGAAAAGAAGAAAAAAATTCCAGCAGGAACACTACCCTATCAAAGGTTTGGTGTCATAATTTTGCACTACCTGAATTCAAAGCAAATCATATAAGTGAATGATGTGGTCAAACACTGCCATCTGCTGCTCGTAGGCCTTTGATGCAGCCTTAATTATTTTAAGGGGACTCTCCACTGCCAGGAAATCTGTTTTCCTGGCACTGTAGGACCCCTCCCGCCCCCCATCCATGTTACTGAAGGGTTCAGTGACTTACCTGAATCCAGCGCCGATGTCCCTCGGCGCTTGGTCAGGCTTCGCCAACGGGGGAAACTTAATGAGCATGCGGCTATTCAATGCTCTCCTATGGGGATTCCGGCGACACTGGAGGTCCTCATGCATGTCTGATAGACAGCTACTAGAGGAGGACTTAACCCTGCAAGGTAATTATTGCAGTTTATAAAAACTGCAATAATTACAGTTGCAGGGTTAGGGGGGTGGGAGTTGGCACCCAGACCACTCCAATGGGCAGAAGTGGTCTAAGTGCCTGGAGTTTCCTTTTAAGCATTCAAAAAAAAATAATTTTTTAAGGGATCAGTACAGAGGTGCGTTACTGGATCCCACACACCTGGTTTATATTCAAAGTGAAACAGTTTTACCACTTAAAGGGACACTCCAGCCGCCTTAAAAAGCACATTAGCTTGCTGAAAAGCTTTAAGTATGTAGAGCCTGTCCTCTTTTTTTTTTTTTTTGCAAAAAGTGCAGATCTCAATAGAAATTTACACTTTTATAAATTAACATGGTTACATACCCTAGTTTTTTTTCTGGTTTGGTTAGCGTAGTAGAGCTAAAAACTCAAGAGGCAGCAATTGCTCAGAGCACCTGCCTTGCAAAGACTTCTCATTGAGATCCATTGAGAAGTCTGTGATTGGACAGCCACAGGAGGCCTTGGTGGGGTTAGGAGGACAGGCCTGGCAAAGGCAGAATTGCAACTTTTGCAAGCTGTTTTTAAATTAATTTTCTCCATTTAAATGATTTTTTTTTTTGTCCTTAAAGTATTCATTTGGGGTATATCAGTGATTTTTATTTTCTGTTTGGGCAGTGGAGTGTCACTTTGCAGTCTATGGCTTTAAGGCCCATTGACGGCATAGACTGTCATGCCTTAAAAAGTACCAGCAGGGTTAAATCCCTACTGGTACCACAGAGCCTCAGGTATCATTGCATACCTCATGGTCCTTACTGTCAGCTGTGGCCACAGTTAGTAACCCCAGATTGACTTATGAGCTATGTGCACCACTCTAAGGGAAAGCAGCACATGGCACTTTATAGCCTTCGATCACACTTGCCACTTAGTATCTTTGAATACCTGAGGGTCCACTCGGTTACTTGGGGTCACAGTTAGTTTGGTGCTGGGCTTTGCCAGCTGCCCAGCACCAATCACAGTTGCTGGAGCTGCAGCATGAGAGGGAGTTCTCCTTTTAATGCTGCAATCACACAGTTTAGAGTGCACAGTTTTAAAACTAAAACGAACAATAAAAGGTTTTATTTATTTTTCTATGATAGTCCTATTTAATACTGTGTAATTTATACATAGAGGGTGTCAAAAGAAAGCTCTATTTTGCCTTTAAAAAAATTAAACATAATATGTATGGATGCACTTAAGCAGAAAGGGTGAAAATGTGCTGGAAAATGCAAAAAAAAGGCCTTGGTCACATGTTGCACCTTAAAGTAGTGTTTGTCCTTAAGGGATTAAGTTATACCAATGACCTATAGTTACAGAAGAAGAATTAAGAAGATTCTCATTAATTTAAAGAATATCTCCCTTTCCAAATTGATTAACACAAGTGGTTAAGAAAAGAGACTTTATCAGGTCCTGAAGTTGACATACAATACATATTAATTTCATTGCGGGAACAAGTACAAACCATGGCTTTTAATTACACAGAATTTCAAAAACAAACAAACCAGAGTTTTAAAATAAATATTAAAAATATATTTTGATTGCATAGGTTAAGACTTAATTTAATAGAATAAAAATACCTGTAACATGACATGAGTCACACATTGAGCAAGTTCCATTTAAAAAAAAAAAAAAAATTATATTTTTAACATTACATTTTTGCACCCTACATAAAAACACCGCTTCAATGCTTGCAAACCTTTCATTTCCAATTAGAAATCTCGGCAACTCATCAATAAATGGCACAATATACTGTTTGGTTTATACTTTTTTATGTCCTTTTACCGAGTGCGACTTTACAAGTACAATTTGCAGGCTTCATCACAGCTCTCCAAGACAGCCTATATTAAGGCTTAGAGTTCTCTTTGTTTGCGTAGTAGTTTAATGTATGGCTTCATGGATAAAACTACTCGTGATTATTAAAATACAACTTCATGAAACCTTTGCTGAGTAGATGTTTATAGGTTATAGGAGCAGCAGCAAACAAGGGGAGTTCAGAAAGTATTGTTTTTATATTTGTTCTGTATACAAAATGGTAATGCAATATATTTATTATTTTTAAACACAATTGTACAGTTTCCAATGGCCAGTGCTGGAATACATATGAATAATATTGGTTTCATGTTTTGCATCACACATTTGTTGGAATTACAAATACACTCAATTCAAAGCATACTATAATCGCTTTTGTAGCTATTTTGGCACTTCTAATGATTTACAAAATAACAAATAAATAGCCCCCAGCCCGCCAAAGTACACAGTTATCAACAGGTCCACTGCATCACTGAGCATAAACTGTGACAGTATTTCTGCACAGGTGGACCGTGAAATGTAATTATTAAAATCTATAATATCCAATATATTAATTCGTATTTTTATTGAAAATTAATCTTAAGGCATTTCCCACCAGCTCGAAAAATTATGTTACTGCCCAGTTCCTTGTTATATATAATTTACACTACATACAAATCTCCAGGGACTTACTATTCCTCTGGTACCTACTCAGCAGCAGCCTGGAACTCGGCGTCGGATCAGAGGTTAGCCACAGCCTGGTCAAACTTTACATGAGGATTACTCGGGCTAGGGGACTTTGATGTGGATGCTTTTTGGACATTTTAAGCTTGAGAACTAGCACAATCCGGGGATGTAGAATATATTAATGTTACATGAGGGGAACACCATGTTTTGGGAATGCTACTGTAAGGCACCCTGGTGTCTGATAGTTAATTAAGTTATCCTGTCTGTGTTTATAGAGTTATATATCAGACACTGAGGGGCCGGGGTGGGATGTTGAATTACATACTTGTGAGTTGCGACAATAAGGCATGTCTGTTTTCCTCCATCAGGCTCAGTTGATGTTTGTGGAAGCTCTATAATAACTTCAACGATTCTACTCCAGAATAAGGGGAACTTTGATGGAGGTACTCAGATGGAGTACAGGATCTCTGTCAAATGTATATGTTTCTCCTTACCTAAGTCTTACTGCTGTCAGAATGCCAGTATTTTAGAATACAAAATAACTTTTAAATACACAATAATTATTTTGTGTCACAATTTATATGAAATATATTTATATTAAAGGGGCATTGTAAGCACAAAAATTACTTCCTCTTAAATTAGTTCTTTGAAACCCAGCCATGAATTGCATAGGTTTCCAATATAATTAATTTACAGATACATTTATTTTCTGAAAAGCTGTAAGTAATATATAACAATTTATTAATGTTACAGTTTTATAATGCCCCCCACGGTTACTTAAGGGTAACTCTAGATTTGCATCATATGTCATTTGTACAATACTCCTTGGCATTTTATGTTTTAATACTCCGGTTATTAACAGAACGATGGTCCAAAAATATGCATATACTACAATTTGAGCATCTCTGCCCCCATAGTATAAGCTAAAAGATTTCTGTGCGGTTTTGTTAACCAAACTAATTGACCCCAATTAAAATACAGAGTTTGGTATCTATAATTACTATAACCTTACTATAGGACCAGTTGCAGATTCTATTCTATTTACCTAGATAAATAACATAGGTAATATGTGGTGTAAGCCATCACAGTTCTTTAAATCATCATTTCTATTCCTATATGGGTCACTTGAATGGTTAAATATAGTGTTTGGGTTACTATGTGTACATTAAAATGTTCTTACGTTGGTACCTACAGTACACTCTTCTCTTGGTTTATCTGATCACAGTCTGATCCTGCCCATTGTGTGGACTAATGCACAGAGTTATCCCATTTAAGATTTAGGCAAAGCTCTGTCTGTCTTGCTCTCCGTAAATCAGAACAATAAACAGGAATGAGAGAACGTGTCAAAATCACGGCGTTTTCAACTGTTTTTCTTTGTTTAACTTGCGGAAAAAAGTTTTCCCAAATTCATAGGTGCTGATCATTACAGCACAGGCAGGCGCTACTTTAATTAGACGAGGAATTAAACCTTTAAAGAGAAAAAAAAAAAAAAAACAAGAATGAATAAATCACACAAACAAAATATTAATACTGCAATCAGGCATTCCCTGAGAAAGGCAGTGAGTCATTACACATTGATAATTCAGAGCACTCATCAAAATAATCTGTGACATTTAACCCAATAAATGCAGAGGATATAATCATCATCATCATCCCAACAAGGCTTATGGATTGTACGTTTTATATGCCCAACATCCCTCAAAATATAACATTACAGCTTGCTCAATCTGTGTCATTTTTATTTATCTTTGTTTAAGTTACACAGGAACTTGCTAATACAACCCTGCCAGGGTGGCGTTACTATTGGGCACAATGCCTATCTTTCCTTTAGCTTAAGAGGAGAAGTTTATGCTCTGTGGTGTAGCACAGGATTAAAACAGTAGCTAAATCAGAGTTCCCATATAAACCTGATGGCTGGGTACCCTGGGTAATATACATATATATAATACACAGTAGATGGACAACATATATTTTAAAAGTTTAATATGGTTTCAATTAAGTGACTCTTAACACATTGTTTCCAACTTTGCTCTCTTCTGTGTCCATGCTGGCTGCCATGACACTTTATAAAAATTATTTAAAAAAAAAAAAAAAAAAAAAACATTCTTAGAGAATGTTATAGTGCTCCCAACATAATCCCAAATCCAAATGCATGTTTATACCAGGAGATGATATTACTCAAGACAATATTTTAACCCAACCGGGAACATTTAGAGGTTGTGGTTCATGCACTGTATTGATTGACAGGACCAAAGCTTTTTCAAGTTGTATAACAGGTGACGTGTTTAAAATTAAATCTGAGATAGGTTGCCACACGGATTTTGTAGTGTATGTACTGCAATGTCCGTGTGGCAAACAATATGTCGGACGCACCAAAAGAGTCTTGAAAGTAAGGATAGTTGAACATCTGAATAATATAAAAAAAGAAACTTACTAACCACTCTGTCCCAGTCCATTGTAATACCTGCCCTTCCTTTTCATTTAAAAATTTTAGGTGTATAGGGATTGAAAGGGTTTTACCACATTGGCGAGGAGGTGACGAAATAAATAAATTGGCTCAGTGAGACATTTTGGATCCATAGACTCCAAACCCTTGAATCTAAGGGTCTAATTTGATCGGGTGGAAGATTGGATGAAGGTTTACACCTGAACAGGTACTGCACTTGCACCTATGGGATTCAAGGAGCGACGGCCCACGGATCCACCAATGGACACAGGGATTAGCCCTATAAATAGAGACTCATAAAAGGGGTTATTATCTTTGTTATATTTGGTTTTATTGTTGTAATATCACTGCCATTTGGTCCCTGAGAAAGTTCCCCTGTTGGAATGAAACGCGTAGGACCTATAGTCCTCAATTTTATATTTAAAGCTGATGGTGATTGTTCACCTTTTTATAATAAAGCTGCTGATACATTTTTCAACTTACACCTACCAAAAAACGTGATTTTTGGATATGTTGGTCACAGATAAGGGCTACCAGTTACTTGTTACTTTTGTGGGGTTTTCATGTGTTTTGGGGGTACTTTTGGGGTGTCTGTAAAATGTGTGTTTTCTGTGCCTGGAGATAATTTAGTTTGTTCAGTTCCTGACTCAATTATCTCTCAGGCACAGGGGAGGGATTACCCTGTTTTGTATATGAAACCCCTTGCATGGGGTTTGCATAAAAGACCGTTTGTGACCTCTAATGAAGAGACTACTTCCCAGCATTAAGCCTTGGCTCATGGGTGGGGGGAGGCAGTGGGATTGCTATACTGCTCTTTGGATTACTATATCTGCTATACTCTCTTGGAGGGGAGGTCTTCCCACTGGGAGATGGATCTAGCTGTTAGTCCAGGGTGGTAAGGGACTGCGAGGCCACAGCCAAGCTGCGGCAGCTAAGGGGGCTACAGTGGTTATGGTGTCCGGTGCGGTGCTTATAGTACTTGGTGAGCACTAGGAAGCGAGATTGGCGGAGGTACCCAGGCGGTCCGCCACAACCACTTTTTTCAAAGATTGCATGGAGAATTATAAGACTAATTACCATCCAAGATATAAATGTCTTTTATTTATTTTATTTGTTAATAAAAACTCCCAGTGCTGCATTCAGATGTCCAAAAATATAAAATCAGCAGTGGAAAATAAACCTTTCTTAAAATGATAGTATTATACGAAAAATCAGAATGGGTCATGCAATCATTTATAGATAAAGTAAAAAATAAAATTCAAAAAAAAATAACTAACCAGCAAACAGCCCATTGAACCCATTCTCAGCCAGTATTGTATTCATCACCTTCCATGTTGATGTGGATCTTTTCTGGGAAGCTGAATAAATAAAACACATTTATACAGGTATATTTAGTACAATGTTCGTCATAATTAAAACAGACTCTCAGGGCCAGATTTGGCACCCTTCCCCTCTCCACCCAAAAAAACAAACACAGTAAAAGTGACTGCATTTGCTCCAAAACACAAAGCTACGCAGTGTGCACAGTGGGCACTAAACAAAGAAAGATGTAAATCGTGGTTGCTCAAACTTTCTATAAAACACTGCTGAGCTTATCGGAAAAAAGGCAGCACTTTAAAGAGTGAGTGCGCTAGATCTTGTATGATATATAATATACTGTAACAGAGTGTTGGGGATGGTGGTCAGGGGTGTATATCTGGCACCCAGACTTTTGCACAGCCACTATCCTGACATGTGGGTAAGCACATGCAGCCCCAGGGAAAGTTAAGTTTAAATGTAGTTTTTTCCTCTGTTGTTATTTGGGTCCCTGGGGTGGAGTATTCGGAAGAGCAGGGTGGGCCGATTCTCCACCCACTGTCAGAGTGGTTGTGCATGAGTCCAGCCCAGGTTTCCCATAGAGTTCTGGCTCACTGCCTAACGAGGTCATTAGCCTCACCTGTAGGGGCTGTGAGCAGCTATATAACTGCAGTTAAAGCAGGGTGAAGTGAGGGAAGTGTTTTGGAGGAGAAAGAAGGTGTTTTTGTGGAGAAAGAAGATTTGCTGTTCATTGTATCCTGTTACTTCACAACAACAGAAAATAAACAGGCCAGAGGCCTTTTTGAAACTGGACTTTGTCTTGACCTGGTTTTCTTACCCTAGAGGGCTGTGCGGTTGCCAAAAGATACTGGACAAACACACACAGGAAAGTAAGTTTGTCACATATGGTGGAGAATGCGGGCACTGCACTAAAGAAGCCTGTGGGTATTAACTGGAAGCCAAACAAGCCTGTAGAAATATGGAGGAAGTTGTGAAAGTCTTGTTGCAAACTACAGCTGCACAGCAAAAGGCTACAGCCGTACAGCAGGAGGCTACAGCTGCACAACAGGAAAATATTACAGCCCTACAGCAACTGGTAATTACGCAAAAGGCCAACACAGATGCTTTGATCCAGCAGGTTATGGCAGCCCAAGCTGAGGCAAACCGCCTGCTCAGAGAGGAGCAACATCAGGCCACCAGTATGATACAGAAGGAGATACAGGCTTTGACCAAGGGACTGACCAGAGTCTCGGATGGGACGCAGTCCGAGGTTAAAATGATCAGAGCCAGCCGTTACCTGCAGAAGATGACACCTACAGATGATGTGGAAGCATACCTGCTAGCTTTTGAGAGGACAGCTGAGAGAGAAGAGTGGCCGGTGAGTGAGTGGGCAAGCATACTGGCACCTTTTCTTATTGGAGAACCCCAGAAGGCTTTCTATGACCTGGAACCAGCACAGGCAGGGGTCTACTCCAAATTGAAGGCTGAGATCCTTGCACGACTTGGTGTGACTATGGCAGTTCGTGCCCAAAGATTTCATGCCTGGACTTTCAACCAAGAGAAGCCTATCCGCTCCCAGATGTTTGACCTGATACATCTGGCTAGAAAGTGGTTACAACCAGAAATAAATACGGCAAGCCATATCATGGAACTTCTTGTGATGGACAGATTCCTGCGGGGCTTGCCTGCTTCACTGCGTCGATGGGTCAGTCAGAGTGATCCACAAACAGCTGATGAGTTAATTGGTTTGGTGGAAAGATATGTGGCTGCAAATGACAGACAGTGGCTCAACAACACAAAGGCTAAGCAGAGAGTTAAGACTCCAGCTCCTGAAAGACCTGGTAAGATTTTTCAAGATTTCAGAGACACAGAGGAACAAGAGACATATTCTCAGGGACCCCATACGCTTATGCCTAGAAATGTTAATCCTGGAAAAGGGTTTAGGTGGGGGACAGTTGATAATATGAAATGTTTCCGGTGTAATGAACCTGGACATAAAGCTAGAGACTGTCCCTTGATTGATGAACCGATGCAATGCAATATGATTAGTCAGGATGTACAATTGTCTTGTTTGCTGAATTGTATGGAATCTGCTGTTGCCAACTGTAGTCACAATCCACAGATATGTTCCATAAGGGTGAATGGGAAAGAGGTTAGAGCTCTATTAGACTCCGGAAGTATGGCGACATTGATAACAAAATGCCTTGTACCTGAAGCCGATGTTGATGCATTTCAGAAAATTGGTATAATTTGTGTTCATGGTGACAAACGTGAATATCCTACAGCTTTGCTAAAATTTGAAAGCCTTTTCGGTACTGTTAATCATAGAGTGGGTGTAGTGGATAAATTGGCTTATGATGTGGTATTGGGAAGAGATTTTCCCCAATTTTTAGACTTGTGGGGGTCTACAGGAAAAATAGTTCATGATTGTATAGCAAATGATTCTAGAAATGTGTTCCCTTTTTCTGACATAGAATGGGAAGGACTAGGCATAAGACCAGGGAAGGCTGAAGCCTCAAGTCACAGGCCAGCTTTAGTAGGAGATGACCAGGGCCACGATAGTCAGGAGACCGATAACGATCAGGATCAAGGCATTAACTTCCCTGAATTAGAAGTCAGTCCTGTTAACTTCAGGAAAGCGCAGTGGGAAGACCCCACTCTTGCAGAGGCCCGAAAAAATATCCAGGTTTCAACTGATGATCCAGTACAACTAGATAGAGCCCCTTCTTTTCCTTATTTTGAGGTACAGAATGATTTGATCTATAGAGTAGAGAAAAAGGGGATGGATGTTGTAAAACAACTACTTGTTCCTAAGCCCTTCAGACATACAGTCCTAAATCTTGCACACAGCCATATACTGGGGGGACATTTAGGCATAGAAAAAACAAGAGAAAGAGTCTTACAGAGGTTTTACTGGCCTGGGGTGTTCGCTTCAGTTGCAAATTATTATTCTTCTTGTCCTGAATGCCAACACACCGCCCCTTTTAAGGCATATCGCAGTCCTCTGGTACCATTGCCTATAATAGAAATACCTTTTGAGAGGATTGCAATGGACTTGGTGGGTCCTCTGGTAAAGTCTGCAAGGGGGCATCAGTATATATTGGTGATTCTGGATTATGCTACCAAGTACCCAGAAGCAATACCCCTACGTAACACCTCTGCAAAGACAATAGCGAGAGAACTCATGCTCATGTTTAGCCGGGTGGGCATACCAAAAGAAATTTTGACAGATCAGGGTACACCATTTATGTCTAAAGTTACAAAGGAGTTATGCAAACTACTTCAAATTAAACATCTTAGGACTTCTGTTTATCATCCCCAGACAGACGGACTGGTAGAACGGTTTAACAAGACCTTAAAAAGTATGTTAAGAAAAGTAATTGACAAAGATGGTAAGAATTGGGACTGCTTACTACCCTATCTAATGTTCTCCATAAGGGAGGTGCCACAAGCTTCTACGGGCTTCTCTCCTTTTGAGCTTCTATATGCCCATCATCCCAGAGGTCTACTAGATATAGCAAAAGAAACCTGGGAACAGGAATCCAATCCGTACCGTAGTGTAATTGAGCACATAGCTCAAATGCAAGATAGGATGGCGGCTGTCATGCCAATAGTTAAAGAACATATGCAGAAAGCCCAAGATGCCCAGAAAAACAGTTATAATAAAAATGCCAGACTGAGAGTTTTTCACCCAGGAGACAGGGTGCTTGTTTTGGTCCCTACAGTAGAAAATAAATTTCTAGCATCTTGGCATGGCCCATATGAGGTTATTGAACAGGTTGGAGAAGTTAATTATAAAGTGAGACAACCCGATAGGAGGAAACCTGAGCAAATATATCATATTAATTTACTAAAACCCTGGAAGGACAGAGAGGTCTTAACTACTTCAGTTGTCACTGATAAGACTGGTAGTGAACTTGAAGTAAATATACCAGACACCCTGTCCCCCCACCAGAAACAGGAAGTAAGGGACTTCATTGGTAGAAACCAGGATGTATTTTCTGTAGTTCCGGGCAGGACTAACGTTATCAAGCATGATATTGTTACAGAACCAGGGGTGAAGATAAGCCTTAAACCATACAGAATCCCAGAAGCACAGAAAGAGGCTGTAACTGCTGAAATTAAGAAAATGTTAGATCTTGATATTATTGAGGAATCCCAAAGCGAGTGGAACAGCCCTATAGTACTGGTGCCAAAACCTGATGGCTCGATAAGATTTTGTAATGATTTTCGTAAATTAAATAGTGTGTCAAAGTTTGATGCTTATCCAATGCCTAGGGTCGATGAACTGATAGAGAGACTGGGTAAGGCTCGGTACCTGACTACTTTAGACCTGACGAAGGGTTATTGGCAAGTACCTCTTACAGACAGAGCAAAAGAAAAGACAGCTTTTTCTACATCAGGGGGATTATTCCAATACAAGGTGCTACCATTCGGGTTACATGGGGCCCCTGCCACTTTTCAGAGACTGATTGATAGGATTTTGAAGCCTCACAGCCGTTATGCGGCCGCATACTTAGATGACATAGTCATTCACAGTCCTGACTGGGCTTCACATCTTCCCAAAGTGCAGGCAGTACTGGACTCTATCCGCTTAGCTGGTTTAACTGCTAACCCATCTAAGTGTACTATAGGTTTGGAAGAGGCAAAATATCTGGGTTATTCGATTGGGAGAGGACTAGTTAAGCCCCAAACAGCAAAAGTGGAGGCCATACAAAATTGGCCACGCCCCCTCACTAAAAAGCAAGTTAGGACTTTCTTGGGACTTATTGGGTATTACAGGCGATTTATTCCTGGTTTTGCTACATTAGCAGCTCCTTTAACGGATCTCACAAAAGGTAAAGCCCCACTAGTGGTTAAGTGGTCAGTAGAGGCAGAAAAATCGTTTGTAACTTTGAAAGAGGCTTTGTGCACCCAACCGGTTCTGGTAACCCCGGATTTCACTAAAGAGTTTATTGTCCAAACCGATGCATCAGAGCTTGGGTTAGGGGCAGTTCTGTCTCAGGAAATTCAGGGTGAAGAACACCCAGTGTTTTATTTAAGTAGGAAGCTGACTCCCGCTGAGAAAAATTATTCTATAGTGGAAAAGGAATGCCTTGCCATAAAATGGGCCTTAGACTCATTGAAATATTATCTGCTGGGTAGAAAATTTAGGTTGGTCACAGACCATGCCCCTTAACCTGGATGAGTCAAAACAAAGATAATAATGCCAGGGTGACAAGGTGGTTCCTCAGTTTACAACCATTTCATTTTACAGTTGAACATAGGCCGGGGTCTAAACATGGAAATGCTGACAGTTTGTCACGAGAAAATTTGTTTTCTGTGGTCGCTCACCCCACTAGGTCTGAGCTGGGGGGGAGGATATGTAACAGAGTGTTGGGGATGGTGGTCAGGGGTGTATATCTGGCACCCAGACTTTTGCACAGCCACTATCCTGACATGTGGGTAAGCACATGCAGCCCCAGGGAAAGTTAAGTTTAAATGTAGTTTTTTCCTCTGTTGTTATTTGGGTCCCTGGGGTGGAGTATTCGGAAGAGCAGGGTGGGCCGATTCTCCACCCACTGTCAGAGTGGTTGTGCATGAGTCCAGCCCAGGTTTCCTTTAGAGTTCTGGCTCACTGCCTAACGAGGTCATTAGCCTCACCTGTAGGGGCTGTGAGCAGCTATATAACTGCAGTTAAAGCAGGGTGAAGTGAGGGAAGTGTTTTGGAGGAGAAAGAAAGTGTTTTGTGGAGAAAGAAGATTTGCTGTTCATTGTATCCTGTTACTTCACAACAACAGAAAATAAACAGGCCAGAGGCCCTTTTGAAACTGGACTTTGTCTTGACCTGGTTTTCTTACCCTAGAGGGCTGTGCGGTTGCCAAAAGATACTGGACAAACACACACAGGAAAGTAAGTTTGTCACAATACACACACACACACACAACTTTATGTAATTCTATATTGATACTTTGGAAAGAGTTCAGAGAAGGGCTACTAAACTGGTTCATGGATTGCAGGATAAAGCTTACCAGGAAAGGTTAAAGGATCTTAACATGTATAGCTTGGAGGTAAGACGAGACAGGGGGGATAGGAAACATCTGAATACATAAAGAGAAATAACTATAGGAGACTATATTTAAAAGACGAAAAACTACCACAACAAGAGGACATAGTCTTAAATTAGAGGGGCAAAGGTTTAAAAATAATATCAGGAAGTATTACTTTACTGAGAAGGTAATGGATGCATGGAATAGCCTTCCAGCTGAAGTGGTAGAGGTTAACACAGCAAAAGAGTTTAAGCATGTGTGGGATAGGCATAAGGCTATCCTAGATATAAGATAAGGCCAGGGACTAATGAACAGATTTAGAAAATTGGGCAGACTAGATGGGACGAATAGTTCTTATCTGCCGTCACATTCTATGTTACTAGGAACTGAACATGTGGGAGCTTGCCTGTCACTTTAAAACAGGAATGGGATTCACACACTTACTACTAAACACTTCAAGTTCACCAACTTCAATTTGTCTTCTGGTTTTTACAACATCAAAAGGCAATGTTACAATCGAAGCAATCTGTGAAAAGAAGACATAGAGAATATCAAATGTTAAGTTAACAGGATCATATTAAAGTGGCACTCGAAGCACCAAAACAACGTAATGGGGCAGTGTTGGTGTATAGATCATGCCCATGCACTCTCACTTCTCAATTCTCTGCCATGCTCTTGGCCATTCTGTTTTGCAGCCCGAACCACATCTCCCCTGACTGTGACTCACACAGTCAATATTCTCAAAACAATCTTAAAGCACAGTATGCTTTAGAATTAAGCTAAAATTGCTAATGTAGAAGTGGAACTTCATTAGACACTAATCACCAATTAATTGATTATGTCAACACCATGATACCCAGTGATATGCACAGCATTAGTTTAAGGAGCAATTTTCGATTTTACAAATAGCTCAAGTCATCAATTGCACTAGAATATAAACAAAGCACATTCTACAAAACACCTTAGTTTTTTACTGGTCTCTACTGCAATGGGGAAGATTACATTTACAGTAAGCAAGTTATTGTAGATTGTTTTCTACAGCTTGCGGACTATAAGGAGCCTGTTCCGAAATTTCAGGACTTCTTACAGTCTGTGGCTTAAAAATTCTGGATTTCTACAATCTCCTAAAAATTTAAAAGGAAAAAAAAAAATGAAGGTTGGTAAAAAAATTACTTACTGAACCAGACACAGCCCCAGCTAGAAAATAGATTGAAAACGTTGGCTCAGGAGAGTTGTACTTTTGGCACAGCCATTTCTTTCCAAGTTCATAGTTGAACCAGTACAGAGCTGTTCAGCAAAACAAACAAAAAAAAGTTACTTGTTCTGTGTTTGTAAACTAACGGAGGGTCCTGGGTATAAATGTATTTTTGTGATGTGAATAAAAATCTGACATGATTTTACTCGCTCAATAAGAAAATTCTCGATCTGTCTATACTCCCATTGTGTAACCAAGGGACTTAATTAGGGTGGTGGAGTGGAAGAAAGAGATGGAAGAAAGGGGATTTCAATAAAAAAAAAATTAAAAAAAAATTGAAACTTAAAAAAATAAATAAATAAATAAATAAATTATTTTTGGTTTCATTGCATTTTTTATTTATTATGCAAACAAATAAAATATTTTTTTTTTCACAGATTCATTTTACAACATTGTAATGTAGTATGAAATAAAAATAATAATAAAACATGGGTAAAGTGTGAAATTCCAGCAATAAATAAAATTAAAAAAACTAACAAACAGCAAAACTGGCATACACTGGAATGATTGATAAAATAATAGAATAAAATATTTTTGGGGCTGGTCAGTGTAACGTGTGCTCTGTTTGATTTTTACATGTTTTCAGGTTTCCCTTTCCTAAATTAATGTAAAAAAACATTAGATGCCAAAGTATCGCCTGCAAAAGGAATTGTTCCGTCACATTCCGTCCCACAGAGCTTGCCAGTTAATAAGTGTGGAAGTTGGAATCCCCTGGTCCTGTTTAGCTGGGGATGGGGCAAGCGAGAGGAAAAGCTGTTCCTGTAGCACCGTGTCTTTTCACATTAAACAATGACATTATAGCCTTTCACACAAGTTAAGAGAATGTATAGGTTCAACTTAGTTATGCTGAGTGGTTTATAGAAATTCCCTTTTTTTTTTTTTTTAATTAGTTTTGATCCATAAGCATGCCGCTTTACAATCTTCCCACCAAACCTACAGCAGTTCCCTTTCCGTTTACAAAATACTGCAATAGATGATGTTACAAAGAAAGCAGATGGTTAAACTCCAGTAGAAATCCTTGTTGTATCCACAAAGCACTGCTTAGGGTGATAAGCTCATAGAAAGTCAGGGGAGAATCAAACTAGATTCCATTAGTATTCTGATGACAGCTCACTTCAGGTCCTCAAGTGGCTTTGCAGCCAAGACAGGAACCTGCAATTCTAAATGCCTTCTCTCTATGACTTTGTCATCATTCTTACCTGTTTACTACTCTTGCTGTATACTAAACTTACCAGAGAATGGGACATCTCTCAAGACTGTAGGGCCCCATCCTTTCCACAGGGACAGCCAGCCATCCTTCACAACCGAACTCTGGATGCACAGACACAACTCTCTGTAGGACAACGGTCTGGACTGCATCTTTGTCCGAATTAACTCTAGTGGACTAATGAGAGTCACCGAACCCACTGAAAATCAGGAAATAATGGTTTAGCACAGGGCTGTCCTATAAGCAGCCCTCAAAAGATTTTTGTATTGTATCTGCATTTGCAAAGAAGACATTCAAAAAGATACAATGCCAATTCATGATGAGCAAATTTTACATTAAAAATGAAAAACAAAAATAGTAAATGTCGCTGCATACACATACTAATATTGATATTCTAAAGAACACATAAGTGGCTCAGTGATATGACTCACATCTGGCCGTTGCCCCAGCAAGAAGACTAGCAGTTTCTGTATTTCCTCGCAATCTTGGAATTAGAATATCCCGTAGCTGGTCATAAAATGTGAAGTAAAACGCAGTGGCAGGGACTGCCATAATTCTGTCATATAGAAAAGATAAATTACATTTTAATTTTGTTCCGTAAGTCTTAATTTTCCAATTCACCTGCCAAGACTCCAACCCTGGCACTAGTCCAACACAAATCACACTTAATGTGAAACAACAACAGAAAAACAATGAAACTTGGAAATGGATGGTAACTCTTGGCTTGTGATAAGGGAGACATATGCAGATTTAATTACGGATGTAACCATTGTAGTGTTGTTAATATGAAACACAAACCTATAAAGATGTAGTGACAGTAAAAACATCATCTAAAAAAAGTGACATTCTACAGAGGAAAACTCAAACAGATTACAGGTGCTCCAAAGGCACATTCCTGAACAGCTCTGGTTTACTTTAAAGTCATAAAGTCCCATCAGCGCAGACAACCAAAAGGTACAGCTGTGCAGTGCATTATCCAACAAGCATATCACTTTCAGTTTATCTTATATGCAAATTAGATTATATATGAGGATTCAGTGGCACTATTATTTTTTTTCTTGCTCATGCTAAAAGTCTAGGTTTGATACATATGCTTTCATGCACAGGCTGACCCGCCAATTTCCGGTATATAATGTGCATGCATTACAGCCACAATTGTATAGTCAGTAAACATTAGATTACTCCTTAAACCATTCAAAATGTAGTTTAGATATTTTCAGCACTCACTTTTTTCACATGCCTTTAAAGGGTTACTCCAAACTCATAATAACCTGCTTTTATAAGCGGTCATGGAACAAGGAATTTGTATGTGCAGCATTTCCGGTTGCAATACTGCACATACAGTGATATCTGCACTTGTGTGCGAGGGGTTAGATGCAAGCCTGGCACACATGATTGGAACTCTCTAATCTTTAATTCTGTGCAAAAACAAACAAACAATCAGATTCTACCCTTGTAGGCGGCATGGGAGCTTGTACGCCCACTCTCTCCCTCACTTATTTGAGCCCTCCCAGCTTCCTGTGTTTTCTATGTCAGAGCCAGGAGATCAGTACAATTAAATTCTTATCTATGAGAAGTCTTTGAGTGGTCATCAGAGAGAAAAGAGATCCGGCCCTGGATTCTAGGTAAGGGCTATCTTTATTTTACAGGTTTAACCTAAACATAATAAAAAAATTAATTTTTATTTTTTTAAACGGTGAAGGAGCTGGGCAAAATCACTAGTGCCCATTGGGCAGTATAACCTAAAATCAATTACAATGAAAATTGAAAAGAGTAACCCTTTAAACTCCAATATAGTTGGCTAACAAACACCACCGATTTCATTCAGATTCTGAGATTGCAAGTACGTTTCAGCCACCCACATTGTTTAACCATTGAGTATTACAAAGAAATGGTAGACCAAAAAAAAAAAAATGAAAGATACCACTTACAGTGTTGGGGGAAGACCACTCCATAAAGACCTGACTCCTTCATTTCTGATAATTTGGATAAATGCATCCTGCAAAATGAAAAATAGTTGGATGGTAACTCAATAATATCACCAGGAAACAGTAGAGTAACAGGGTTATTTACTAAAGTGAGAATTCAAAGTGAATTTCAAGCTTAGGCCAGACTAGCTGAACTGAAGCATGGCCGACTTAGATAATGCATCCAGTTTGTCATTTAGATTTTAAATTCAGTTTGAATTCTCCCTTTACCGAATAACCCTGCCAGAGTTTAATTATTTAAGCATTACACCTGATAGAAAGGACCAATATAAATATTTTATTATGTCTTTTCATGTGACAACACTGAAGAAATTACACTGCTACAATGTAAAGTAGTAAGTGTACAGCCTGTATAACAGTGTAAAATTGCTGTCCCCTCAAAATAACTCAACACAGCCATTAATGTCTAAACCGTTGGCAACAAAAGTACACTTATGGTTTTTGAGTTGAATAAAAAAAGAAGGTTTTGCCAACACTCAGACAAAAATGAACTGTGTCTGTCTGCACATTTTCAATTTCCACAACATTCTATACAGGTGAATTATTGCCAGGTAAATAATTGTGCACTTCTATTACATATTTATCTAAGTGTTCCATTGCATGTTTATTTAACTAACTACCGTGAACTGCCACATCATGTAAAAGATGACTGGCAATAAACCAAGGTATCAAAATACAAACATATTGGAATAATAGCACAATAGGAAAAGCTATCTGTATTAACCTACATCTAGTAATCTTATTCATACAAAGCAAAGGGCATTAGAGCTTCATTTACAGTGCTATACTTAATAAGGTCATTCTCTACAGACTTTTTTTTTTTTTATCTATGTTTATAACAGACTTTGTTGCTTCAATTGAGCTAGAATGCCACACAAACATTCTAATAAATAGTGTCATTAAAATATTACACTAAGCTAAATTGCATCAAACAAGTGTTCCTCCCGCTATCCTTCTTATCCCAACTGTATTTATTCCCCCATTTTCTCACTCTCAGCCATCCTTGTCTTGGCCTTTCCTGCTTTCCCTTATTCCTACCAGCCATCCATCTCCTCACAACTCTACCCTTTTCAATCAATCAATCCAAGTATACCATTCCCTTTGATTAAATTCAATATTTATCTTCAATAAGGAATGAAGAAAACATGTATGCCCAATGTCCTGGGTAACAAAGATCTTACCGCAGTTCCTCTGAATTGACCCGGTGCCCTGTACCAAGCTTTGCTGTTCCCATTTACGCACACACATAGATGGTCCATTAAACCATTGCAATAAACAAAACATTTTCCTAATAGAAAAGACAAAAAACAAAACAAATTGTTATTGGTATTTATATAGCGCCAGCTTAATCCGCAGCACGTTACATTACTCACCCTTTTGCACTTCCTGTCAGTCCGGCCGGGAACAGGAAACTGAATCTCCTGTACCGCGCGGTACCTGGACTGCCAGGAGGAAGAGGAGCTTGGCTACGTTAAAGGGAAGGGGAGGTGACGGGAGAGGCAGTGCTGCAGCCGCCTGAGGCTCTCTATAGAGCGCTCAGGCGGCTGCAGCCTGATAGGAAGCGCTGGCCCTGCTTGGGGCCCCAGGCAATTGCTTGGTTTGCTTGGCTGGTCGCGACAGGTCTGTACATCGTATAGATGTTTCAATTTATTTTAGACTAATGATTAATATTTGGTGCTCCAGCAATTATGGCATTTTAACTTTGCAAAGAAGGAAAGGGGTTTGGCATATATTCCACCACTGAAGATGTCAATAAATTCAAATAAGACAAAGCACATTAAATGAGAGAGTTAGTGTTAAGTTCCAAAATTTAAAGTTGTTTAAATATCTTCAATAGTGATGTTGTGACACTGGCCACAAATGATTTGCAGTCACGGTGCTGCATAATCCCTCTTGGTGCTAGGAAAAGTGTAATGAAAGGATTATGCAGAATTTATTTTAGTATATCTATGTCATGTACATCATTTTACTTGCTGTCAAAAATATTTTAGAACTCCTATCGTAGTACATCAGATTCTAAGTTGTTTCTTAAGAACATCATAAAAATAAAACAATTCTCAACAGAGACAAGGAAAGAATGGATATACCTTTAATGAAGGGCTTGCTTTGAGCCTGGAGTCGAATTTTCACAACATCCAGTGGTGTAACTAATTAAAAAGAAAAGGGCATGTATTAATAGTTTAGGACATTTTAAGCATCTATTAATTTGTACATTTCAGATTTTTATTATTAGTGGAGAATCAACATATATTACCGCAATGTACAATGGGTGAACAAGGCATAGTCTATATAAGAATTGAGCAAAAACTGAGAAGTTTGGGTTAGTGAAGACAAAGAGGAGAGAAGTTAATTGGTTAGTATATAATCATGTAGTTTGGACTACTCTTATGGAGAGATGTGAAGGTAAAGGCAAAAACTTTAAATTAATCCCAAAGTACAAAGGGTTCCAGTAGTAAACGTAGTGAAGGAGTAGTAAAGGAGCCGATGCAAGCTATGGTTTTGAGATAAAAGTGGCAGGATTTAGATATTGAATGGAAGTGGGGAGTGAAAGAGAGGTCACAGTCAAAATGGACACTGAGGTAGAGAGCCTGCAGGGTTTCATTCAACTTTTTACATAGATAAAAGTATTATAACTGCAACTAGGTGCCAAGTATATTTTCAGTTTTGGCACGGACACCGATCCTATTACATTTTTAATATATGTTAATTTCATACCAAAAAGAGATGTCAGCAGAGCTCCTGTAGATGATGCAATAATCTGTTGAGATAATGTGATACCAGTAGTTCCAGTGATCAATGCTTCTTTTTCCTTCATTTTTCTGAATTAAAAATGAATAAAAACAAATATTGCATTGGTATTTATTTTAGTTGAATTCCAATTTCTACAGGATTACATAACCCTGCCTTCTAGGAGTTAATGATAGAAAAATAAACTATCGCTAGGGTCAGTGAAGCCATTTTGAGCAATGATTCACTCAGAAATACAAGCATGTGTGTATGTGGGGTGGGGGGTGTGCACAAGAGCAAACCTAATGCAATCCTTATGACAGCTGGGGTCAGGATTGTATTGCTCTCTGAACAATTAGAAGTATGAATTTAAAAAAATATATATATATCAAGGAAGCCCAGATACCAAAATAACACTAGTGAGGTTGTACGTGAACACAGTATATTACTTAATAGGCAGACTGAATGCAATTGACTTGAAAAAAAAAATAATAAATAATAATAAGACAAGAAAAAAAAAAAAATGTCAGCCCCTTTAAAGCTGCACAGATAATGAGGAAAATAGACTTTTGTATTACCAAGTTTGAACAATAACAATAGGCTGATTATGCTTTGGCAGGCTATTCCAAAACCAATAAAAGAGCCGTCAGTATATAAATTGCCATTCCTTTTTAAAATAGCGCGTATTCACTTTTGAAGTTGCTTTTATGAGACAGTGGTGTTGCTGTGCCCAGAATGCAGTGACTTTACACTGCCATGACAATGCTTACACAATTCTGCAGGACACGGTCACAGCTTGGCCGATAGTGATAGGAGTTGCAGTTTACATCACCTCGAAACAGGATACATTGTGACATCCCACATAATTACAACATTAGAAATAGTAGTGGGCCCAGCTCTGTAATAACGATATAATGCAACTATGCAAGCAATATTAGTGTTAGTATGATGAAAGTGACTTTTGCTATGTCAAAACATTTAGTGAATCAGAATTCCCATGTATATTCTACAAAGATCAGGTTGTTAAAAGTCATTATCTTGAGGCATCAAAACACTAGGGTGACAGCAGAATTTTTAAATAAACTTATTTCAGAGAAACAGATTAAAAATTAAGGTATGCCAACAGAGAACACACTAAACTGTAGTATCAAAAGGTACATCTATGACCTCTGAGAATAGCTTTCTAAAAAAATAGATTTCTTTCAGCTAGCCAACTGTTGTTGACTATGTTTCCCATGATGCACAGCCATGTCAATACATAATGACTGTCAGAAGGGCACATAAATGTGACCAAATGTCAACTTGGCTCAAAATGACTTCCAGGGTTGGTCAGCTATGGACTACAACACCCAGGACCCAGAATACTATTCTGATGGCTCTGATGGGAGTTGAAATCATAAACAGTTGGAGGATTGCAGAAACCCATGACTTAGTGCTGTGTGTGTGTGCTTACTTCATATCTAGCGGTTATTAATAAAATAAGATGTGACCTGCTATGCCACGGCCAATCACATCACAACAAGCCATGCTTGCACTAGTCAGCTAAATTATTGAATATTTGTTATGTCAGCATATTCCATAATAAACTATAAAAGCACAAGGTTACAAATACCTACCTAGTACAAAAATATACATATATTATAGATACATGTTCACACAATATAGAGAGAGGGCCCTGCTTTTGAGCCTTTACAGTCTAGTGCCCTACTGTACCTTTGCCCTTCTGCAGTGACTAGGATCTGGAGTAAGTGCCAAAAATTCTCTTTGCAGATTGCTTTTCTTGTATTGACAGATTCTCTTTCAAACACAGGGACCTGAACACACAGAGCATGCCAGGAGTTGGATAATCACAAGGCATTGTCATCTGTCAGCCATAACTATGCAAGGACATACAAGCATGTGATGCCACAGTATGGGAAGCTACATGTGTGCAGCAGTTCTGGCCATGCTGGGAGAGTTAGATAAGAACATCCCCCTATGCTGCTTCAAAGAGGTGGAGCCTGGAGAAGGTCGTGGCAGCCATGTTTGATAAGGGCAAAGATTATATTTGGAGAATGTCACATATGGTAGAATGGGCTAATGATGCAACGAAAAGTAATAGCCCCTGCAAGCTGATACATGTTACACATTGTAAATTATTTGTTACCAGATTAGCTGCTCATTTTATGGCACTCATATGGATAATATGAAATTGTAGCTGTCATCAGAGCAGCAGTGTGGGGTTTATTTACCAAACACTGAATTAAAAAACAAACTGTACATGTTAAAGTGACACCATCACCTCCTTCCTGCAAAATTAGTATTTCATGAAGATAAAATCTTAAAGGGACACTCCAGGCACCGAGACCACTTCTGCCCATTGGAGTGGTCTGGGTTCCAACTCCCACTACCCTTAACCATGCAACTGTAAATATTGCAGTTTTCATAAACTGCAATATTTACCTTCCAGGGTTAACTCCTCCTCTAGTGGCTGTCTACTAGAGGGCACTTCCGGGTTTCTAGAACAGTTTTCACGCTATGAGAGGACCACCAGCGTCGCTAAAATCCCCATAGGGAAGCACTGAAAGCATTTTTCAATGCTTTCCTATGGGGAGGTCTAATGCGCGTGCGTGGCATTGCCGTCGGCGGGGGAGGAGCGTGGGCGGACCCTGGACCAGCGCTGAAGGACATCGGCACTGGACTCAAGTAAGTCACTGAAGGGGTTTAAACACCTTCAGCTACCTGGGATGGGAGGTGGGAGGGAGAGGGAACCTGAAGTGCCAAGAAAACGGTTTGTTTTTCTGGCACTGGAGTGTCCCTTTAATGAAATACTAATATTTAATGTGTTGGAATTTCATGGAAATTCCAATTCAGTCGAGAGATATACTGAGTCAAAATAGGGACTACCTTGTCTCAGTATTTTTCTTACACCTGACACCTCTAGACAGGACCGGATTAACATAGGGGCTGATGGAGCTGCAGCTCCAGGCCCATGGAATAGGCCCATTGATTAAAAAAACAAAAAAACAAAACAAAAATTAAATTTTTTTTAAATTTTTTTTTTTTTTACACACTACTCTTAGGGGTTCCACCTGGCTTTTATTTTATTGGCACAGCCAGTATTTGAGGCAGCCTGGCTGGTGCCAATATTGCAGTGATACTGGCAATACAAATGCTGATATTTTTCTCTGTATAAACAAGAGATTACTATGCGATACCAGCACTGGCCAGTAGTGGTCGCTGTATGTGGAGACAGGCAGGGATAGGAAGTTCCAGCATATCCCTCCCTGCCTATCTATACTCCCTGATCTGCAGGGGTGCAGCTACAGAGAGTCCAGACAGCAACTCCCACCCTGCAGAGACAGCCTACAGCTCAGGGAAGTAAGGGATGGGGGGAAAGGCTGCAATGAGACATACACTGAGACACTAAGGGACATTGGGAAACATTATGACACAGACACATGGGGACACAGTGTCCCCATGTCTCCCAGTGTCCCCATGTCTCCCAGCCAGTGTCCCTGGTGTCTCAGTGCCCCCTAGTCTCCCAGTGTCCCCAGTCTGCCAGTGTCTCACTGTCCCCATGTCTCCTAGTGCCTCCATGTCTCCCAGTGCCCCCATGTCTCAATGTCCCCATGTCCCCCAGCCAGTGTCTCTAGTATCTTTGTCCCTGGTGTCTGTGTCCCCATGTCTTCAAGTTACCCCTATTTTCCCATTGTCCCCATGTGTCCCAGCCAGAGTCCCCTAGTCTCCAAGTGTCACTGGTGTCTCTGAGTCCCTAGGTCTCCCCGTGTCCCCAGGTCTCCCCGTCTTCCTAGTGTCCTAATGACATGGGGACCCTGGGATACATGGGGACACAGGGAGACATGGGGCATTGAGACACTGATACATAGGATCACTGGGATACCTGGGGACACGACACTAGGGGACACTGGGAGACATGGGGCACTGAGACACTGATACATAGGAACACTGAGACCTGGAGTAATCGACACATGGGGGCACTGAGTCACGAGGGCACTGGGAGACATGGGGGCACTGGGAGGAATCCATCTATACAGCAGATTTAAACTAAGTAGTTTTTTGGTGATTTTACAGCATTTTCTCTTATGCTACTCCTTGTGATTACATCATGTGATATCACCCACACATATTTAATTATGCAAATTAGTAAGGCCGGTATGTTTTTCCAAGAAAGGTGGCAACCCTAACTACTTTTCACATAACACAGGAGCAGAAGAGGACCGGCTGGAAGAAGGTTGCAGCACCCACGAGGGACCGGTTCAGGTAAGTTATATTTACCTTTGCCTGCTCCCTCCGCCCCCTGGCACCAGACCCAAAGAGGCAATGTCATCATTGGGGGTCTTTACAAATTATGCAAAGTCCCCAAACATTGAGAGTGCCACTTTAAGATAACAGCCAAGCTGCATCTATAGCGCAGTTAGAGAATTATCAAAACACGTTATTTTTTTTTTGCCTACATTTTGCAATTCCCTGTTTAAGGTATACACCCCGGCTTTTATTCTTTACACCAATCAGCTAGGGTATCCTAACATGAGCGGTCTAAAACAGCCCTCACAAAAGAAAATGTAGGGGGCAGCTTTTTACAATAATCACGACCCCACTTAGAAAGCATACAGTGCAGTATTCTACAGGTAAAATATAATATATTATCAATACGAAGTCTATTTGTAGATGGATAACCAACTCTTTTAACATATGTTTTGTTTTTCTTATTTTCCTTTAACAGTGAAACTTGTGAATTTAAAGTGGCTCTGTCAACACCCACCTTCAATAAACAAATAAGCCTTTCATTTTTTATGCCACTGGCCAATGGAACCGCTGGTTGGCTACAGTGGTGCGCTGATGATCTAAGCCAATCTGTAACTTCCCATTCATAAAAAAGAACAACCTAACTGAAATAAAATTGTTATGGTAGAAACATAGAATGTGACGGCAGATAAGAACCATTCGGCCCATCTAGTTTCCCAATATTTAAAAAAAATTTTTTTAATTAGTCCCTGGCCTTATCTTAAGTCTAGGATAGCTTTATGCCTATCCCACGCATGCTTAAACTCCCTCACTGTGTGCCCAGATGTCTTTCACAATTTATTAGCTTAAGTGGTTAAACCTATCCCAAACAGTTTAACCGCTAAGGTTGCTCTCTAGCATCGCATCTCCCTTTCCCCAGAGCAACCTTTGAGGTTAAACCGTTTAATTTTCATTAAAGTTGTTATGGTGCCCATACAGTTGCTTTTAGTAACCCTGTAAGTGAATATATCTCTTAGGCCAAATAGCGAAACTGAAAAAAAAAAAAAAATGATCCAACTTTCCTTATTTTGCAGTTTGCCAATTATTATGGCTAAAAGCTGAGCCGTCATTTTTCCCGAAGGGCCATTCCTTATTGAAGCACGTACTAAGGAGGAGAAGTGCAGCGGAGATAAGTAACAGGCAACCCTCTCGAGTCCATCCAAGTTTAGTACGCCATTGTCTGCCCTTGACGCACAGTTGGGCATATAAATTCAAATGCTGTACACATTCCTCCAGTATGCACACATATGCCACCAGTACTGCGTTGCATGGGCTAAACTAATTTACATGGCATGCCCTGACTGTGCCAGGACAGGCAGCCATACACGGATTTATCTGCTCAACTACGAACTGTCACGAATTAGAATCCAGTGTCAAGATTTAGGCCATATTAACCAGGCCGAATTCAAGAATATTTCCACATCAGGTTTTTTGTTTTTGTTTTTTTTTCCCCAAAAAATTTAGCAATTTCGATGACAACTTACAACACTTTTGACTAAATATTTCCCACAAAGTGAAGCAAATTAAATCTCTGTCTGTTAAAGTACAGTAAAAAAAAAATAAAAATAGAAAACCTAGAAAGGGCCATTCACTAAGGTGAAGAGAATTCAATGTTAATTTCACATTTAAGGTCAAAATAGCCGATCTGGAAAAATTCTCTCAGCCAGCTCTGCTTGCCGAGCAGCTACTCTGGCCTTGAATGTGTCCGGGAGGTGTCGAATCTGCCGGTCCTCCCGCTCGCCGTGTGTGAGGCTATGTTTACCTGGCCGCTGGGTGTGTAATCTGCCGCTCGCTGTGTGGGAGGCTATGTTTACCTGGCCGCTGGGTGTGGAATCTGCCGCTCGCTGTGTGGGAGGCTAGGTTTACCTGGCCGCTGGGTGTGGAATCTGCCGCTCGCTGTGTGTGAGGCTAGGTTTACCTGGCCGCTGGGTGTGGAATCTGCCGCTCGCTGTGTGGGTGGCTAGGTTTACCTGGCCGCTGGGTGGGCGTGGTCAGCGCGTCAGAGGCGGGAAACACAGAGCAGTCAAACCCTGGCCCCGAGCGCCGAGCTGAGAACTGGAGCCGCCGCGGGACGAGTCCGGTCCGTCAGCCGCCACCGCTCCCCCGGCTCAGGCTCAGGCACAGGGCACCGGCTCGGTGAGTGCCCACCCCTCCGGCTCCATGTCTGGGGGGCTGTGTGACTGCTACCCCCCGGCTTTACCGCGGCCTCCACACAGCGGGCTAGAGCCCAATACTGCATCATCATAACTATAACAATAATAACTATAATAATAATAACATTAATAACTATAATAATAACATTAATAATAATAACAATAACTATAATAATAACTATAACTATAATTATAACTATAAAATAACATTAACTACAATAACTATAATAATAACATTAATAATAACTATAACTATAATAATAACATTAATAACTATAATAACATTAATAATAACTAACTTTAATAATAACACCATTAATAATAACTATAATTATAATAACTATAATAATAACTATAATAATAACTATAATAACATTAATAATAACTATAACTTTAATAATAATACCATTAATAACTATAATAATTATAATAACATTAATAATAACTTTAATAATAACTATAACTTTAATAATAACTATAATATTAATAACAATAACTATAATAATATTCATAACAACATTAATAATAACTATAGTAATAACAATAACTATAAGAACTTTAATAATAACTTTTAATAATAAGACTGGTAATAATAACTTAAATAACATTCATAATAACACCATTAATAATAACTTTAATAATAAGACTGGTAATAACACCATTAATAATAACAATAACTATAATAATAACACCATTAATAATAACTTTAACAATAAGACTGGTAATAACACCATTAATAACTATAATTATAATAATAAGACTGGTAATACTAATAACAACATTAATAATAACTTAAGACTGGTAATAATAACAATAATAATAACACCATTAATAATAATAACATTAATAATAAGACTGGTAATAATACCAGTAATAACATTAATAATAAGACTGGTAATAATAACATTAATAATAAGATTGGTAATGGCAGTGTTTTCAGACACACTATCCAATCTTTGCATGTTTCCAGGATGATTAGACAGAGCTGCCGCAGAGCATGACTGGAAGTGTATACTACAGAAATGGGGGGAGCTGTCAGGGCTGCAGAGGAGGCAGGACAGTGACTGTGGGGGTTTACCTCGCTGGGTGCTGTCACTCTTACCTGCCTGTGTCAAGGGAGACTCCTATAAACACTCTGGATTTTAAAAATTAAAATTGTGGATTTTATCATTTTAATTTATATTTATTTTATATAGCGCCAGCAAATTCCGTAGTGCTGTAACAATTATTTGAAGCTAAAAGAGATGCAGGGGGATGGCAATAGCCAATGTTTTCCGGCTCTTTAGCCCATAAAGCTCAAACTTCATTTTCTAAGGCTGTTCGCCGACAGGGTTATTCAATAAAGTGAGAATTCGTTGTGATTTTTTTTTTCCAAAAATTTAAGGACGAATAGGAAAACGTCTCCAAGGCACCTATGCTTCCAGTTCGGCTATTCTGGACTAACGTTTGAATTCGCTTTACAGTTTAGTGAATAACTCTGTAAATTTAGATTGTAGATGTAACGGAAGAGACTAATCAAGGCAAACACGTTGGCATTTGGAAAGAATTACACAGCCTATCTAAAAAGGTGGATAAAATAGCTGTAATTGGGGGGAAATTTAATAAAAGTAGCAGAAAAGGCACCAGGTGGGGTGCGAAACGCGTCCAGGACAGCACATTTTTCTGGGTGGACTTCTTCAGCTCAATCACTGTGTTTATATTTTTTTTACTTCGGATACTTTATTTTACACACTTGATACAATTTTGTACATATGATACTAGAACTACCTCAGCATACGCGAGGAATGCTGTTACAGTGTGTTGCCATGTGTATTTATTTCTATTACTTTTTTCAATAAATGTGCTACTTTTTCATAACTTTTTTTTTTTTTTGGAGTGTTTGGATTTAACCATGCGTGCGGACCGCTGTTTTTAGTTTTGTTTTTTCTGGTTAGTTTTTTTAATATTTGGGAAGAGTCCAGCACTGAGGAGTTAATTCGTAATCCTATTAGTCCTGATTCAGCCTCTCAGTCAAATTATATATTTTTTGGAGTTGCGGCAAGCCTTTTTTAATGAGGGATCCTGCCTCACCAAATCTGTTTTTGTAAACAAAATAAAAATAGGGTCTTGATGCAAACTGGTGTGTGCATATTGGTAATATTGTAGTGTGGTGTAAATTTGAAGCATTTGTAGGCTTGCTACTCTGTTTTTAATGCATTATGGAATTTAAGCCTTTTAAAAAAAAAATCCATGAAGTAACTTTTTTTTTTTTTTTTTTAATACATTTTTTACAAAACACACCATGGCTACCAATTAACATCAGCTGTTTCTTGTAAGTGGGATTATGATACATCTTCCATACATTTCAGTAGTGTAGATGTTTATGAAATATGTATCTACATTAAGATGGAAAAGGGACTTTTACTTGTGGAGGGGGAGGGATCAATGAAATTCTAAAGAAAGTTTATAGCAGCAGACTTGACAGCTGCAGTGATTCATCTTCCTCATATCACTGCTGTTGAACAGGATGAATGGAGATGATGTGTGAAGTAGCCCTTGCACTAAAATGTATGCAAAAGGCAAACGTGCTTCCTCCTTTTTTACATTGACACATTTGTGACTGTAAAAATAAAATAAATGGAACAGTAAAGAAATAATTTTATACAATTTGGAATATCTGCCTATAAAGTGAACACAACAATTTTTGACACTTTCTAAGTGTCATAATAAAGAGTGCTCAAAATGTATATTCTGCATTACAGCTTTAGGACTTGTGTGTATTATTTCCAGCACCACAATTATGGCTTAGTTTGACGTTTTTAACTTTACATTTGCTTTAGCCCCTTTTAGGACCACCTGCAATATATATCAACACAATTTGACCCCTAGTTGTCATGTGCCACCGTGGAACAATCTGGTTATCTTGTCTTAGCAGGTCTATATAACTTCACCAATGATAAATTAGTTGGAAATTACTTGTTAGAGTAGGGTCTTAAAGAATCCAAATATTGTCACAACATAGACTATTACTGTTGTAAAGTGACACTATAAGCATCTAATCTACTACATCTTAATATTCTGGTTTTGGTGCATAGATGCTGTCCTGTATCTCTGACAAATGTGAACATTTCCGTTTCTGGGATATGTCA